TGAGAGATGAGTTACCTTGAGAAATGAGTTACCTTGTGACATGAGTTACCTTGAGAGATGAGTTACCTTGAGAGATGAGTTACCTTGAGAGATGAATTACTGTGGGGTGAGTTACTGTGAGAGATGAGTTACCTTGAGAGATGAGTTACCTTGAGAGATGAGTTACCTTGAGAGATGAGTTACCTTTAGAGATGAGTTACCTTGAGGGATGAGTTAACTTGAGAGATGAGTTACCTTAAGATGAGTTACCTTGTGACATGAGTTACCTTGAGAGATGAATTACTGTGGGGTGAGTTACTGTGAGAGATGAGTTACCTTGAGAGATGAGTTACTGTGAGAGATGAGTTACCTTGAGAGATGAGTTACCTTGAGAGATGAGTTACCTTGAGAGATGAGTTACCTTGAGAGATGAGTTACTGTGGGGTGAGTTACTGTGGGAGATGAGTTACCTTGAGAGATGAGTTACCTTGAGAGATGAGTTACCTTGAGAGACGAATTACCTTGGGAGATGAGTTACCTTGAGAGATGAGTTACCTTGGGAGATGAGTTAACCTTGAGCCATGAGTTACCTTGAGACATGAGTTTACCTTGAGACATGAGTTACCTTGAGGGATGAGTTATTTTGAGAGATGAGTTACTTTGAGATGAGTTACCTTGAGAGATGAGTTACCTTGAGAGATGAGTTACCTCGAGAGATGAGTTACCTTGAGAGATGAGTTACCTCGAGAGACGAATTACCTTAAGAGATGAGTTACATTGAGAGATGAGTTACCTAGAGAGACGAGTTACCTCGAGAGATGAGTTACCTCGAGAGATGAGTTACCTCGAGAGATGAGTTACCTCGAGAGATGAGTTACCTTGAGAGATGAGTTACCTCGAGAGATGAGTTACCCGAGAGATGAGTTACCTTGAGAGATGGAGTTACCTCGAGAGATGAATTACCTTGAGAGATGAGTTACATTGAGAGATGAGTTACCTAGAGAGATGAGTTACCTCGAGAGATGAGTTACCTTGAGAGATGAGTTACCTTGAGAGATGAGTTACTGTGAGAGATGAGTTACCTTGAGAGATGAGTTACCTTGAGACATGAGTTACCTTGAGAGATGAGTTACCTTGAGGGATGAGTTACCTTGAGGGGTGAGTTACTTTGAGAGATGAGTTACTTTGAGATGAGTTACCTTGAGGGATGAGTTACCTTTATTATTTCGCCTACTGTGTAGGCGAAACGTTTCATAATAAAGATACCTAACTGTTGCATATGTGTCTTACCTAACAACTCCTCCAGCTGCCTATGCAGCCTGTCCACTCAAGCTCCTGTCTTCTTACTTGATCCAAGGAACTGGAGCCACCTTCCCTCTCTCGGACTAAACCTAGTTACCTCCTATTCCCAGACGCAGAATGTCTCTTACGGGTTTAGTGCTTCCCCATGACTAAAAATAAATGGCTGCCTCCCCCTCAGGCAAAAAAAAAAAAAAAAATAAAACGAAGCAAATAAAACAAAATACAACGATTTATAGATTAATTAATTTTGTGTTAAAATTGTCTATAGGAAAAATAATTGCTTCATTAATGTGTTTTGATGAGTTGTTACCTTGAGAGATGAGTTACCTTGAGAGATGAGTTACCTTGAGAGATGAGTTACCTTGTGACATGAGTTACCTTGAGAGATGAGTTACCTTGAGAGATGAGTTACCTTGAGAGATGAGTTACCTTGAGAGATGAGTTACCTTGAGAGATGAGTTACCTTGTGACATGAGTTACCTTGAGAGATGAGTTACCTTGAGAGATGAGTTACCTTGTGACATGAGTTACCTTGAGAGATGAGTTACCTTGAGAGATGAGTTACCTTGAGAGATGAGTTACCTTGAGAGATGAGTTACCTTGAGAGATGAGTTACCTTGTGACATGAGTTACCTTGAGAGATGAGTTACCTTGAGAAATGAGTTACCTTGTGACATGAGTTACCTTGAGAGATGAGTTACCTTGAGAGATGAGTTACCTTGAGAGATGAATTACTGTGGGGTGAGTTACTGTGAGAGATGAGTTACCTTGAGAGATGAGTTACCTTGAGAGATGAGTTACCTTGAGAGATGAGTTACCTTTAGAGATGAGTTACCTTGAGGGATGAGTTACCTTGAGAGATGAGTTACCTTAAGATGAGTTACCTTGTGACATGAGTTACCTTGAGAGATGAATTACTGTGGGGTGAGTTACTGTGAGAGATGAGTTACCTTGAGAGATGAGTTACTGTGAGAGATGAGTTACCTTGAGAGATGAGTTACCTTGAGAGATGAGTTACCTTGAGAGATGAGTTACCTTGAGAGATGAGTTACTGTGGGGTGAGTTACTGTGGGAGATGAGTTACCTTGAGAGATGAGTTACCTTGAGAGATGAGTTACCTTGAGAGATGAATTACCTTGGGAGATGAGTTACCTTGAGAGATGAGTTACCTTGGGAGATGAGTTACCTTGAGCCATGAGTTACCTTGAGACATGAGTTACCTTGAGACATGAGTTACCTTGAGGGATGAGTTATTTTGAGAGATGAGTTACTTTGAGATGAGTTACCTTGAGAGATGAGTTACCTTGAGAGATGAGTTACCTCGAGAGATGAGTTACCTTGAGAGATGAGTTACCTCGAGAGATGAATTACCTTAAGAGATGAGTTACATTGAGAGATGAGTTACCTAGAGAGACGAGTTACCTCGAGAGATGAGTTACCTCGAGAGATGAGTTACCTCGAGAGATGAGTTACCTCGAGAGATGAGTTACCTTGAAAGATGAGTTACCTCGAGAGATGAGTTACCCCGAGAGATGAGTTACCTTGAGAGATGAGTTACCTCGAGAGATGAATTACCTTGAGAGATGAGTTACATTGAGAGATGAGTTACCTAGAGAGATGAGTTACCTCGAGAGATGAGTTACCTTGAGAGATGAGTTACCTTGAGAGATGAGTTACTGTGAGAGATGAGTTACCTTGAGAGATGAGTTACCTTGAGACATGAGTTACCTTGAGAGATGAGTTACCTTGAGGGATGAGGTACCTTGAGGGGTGAGTTACTTTGAGAGATGAGTTACTTTGAGATGAGTTACCTTGAGGGATGAGTTACCTTGAGATGAGTTACCTTGAGACACGAATTACCTTGAGACATGAGTTACCTTGAGGGATGAGTTACTTTGAGAGATGAGTTACTTTGAGATGAGTTACCTTGAGAGATGAGTTACCTTGAGAGATGAGTTACCTCGAGAGATGAGTTACCTCGAGAGATGAGTTACCTCGAGAGATGGGTTACCTCGTGAGATGAGTTACCTCGAGAGATGAGTTACTGTGAGAGATGAGTTACCTTGAGAGATGAGTTACCTTGAGAGATGAGTTACCTTGAGAGATGAGTTACCTTGAGAGATGAGTTACTATGGGGTGAGTTACTGTGAGAGATGAGTTACCTTGAGAGATGAGTTACCTTGAGAGATGAGTTACCTTGAGAGATGAATTACCTTGGGAGATGAGTTACCTTGAGAGATGAGTTACCTTGAAAGATGAGTTACCTTGAGCCATGAGTTACCTTGAGACATGAGTTACCTTGAGACATGAGTTACCTTGAGGGATGAGTTATTTTGAGAGATGAGTTACTTTGAGATGAGTTACCTTGAGAGATGAGTTACCTTGAGAGATGAGTTACCTCGAGAGATGAGTTACCTCGAGAGATGAGTTACCTCGAGAGATGGGTTACCTCGAGAGATGAGTTACCTCGAGAGATGAGTTACCTTGAGAAATGAGTTACCTCGAGAGATGAATTACCTTGAGAGATGAGTTACATTGAGAGATGGAGTTACCTAGAGAGACGAGTTACCTCGAGAGATGAGTTACCTCGAGAGATGAGTTACCTCGAGAGATGAGTTACCTCGAGAGATGAGTTACCTTGAGAGATGAGTTACCTCGAGAGATGAGTTACCTCGAGAGATGAGTTACCTTGAGAGATGAGTTACCTCGAGAGATGAATTACCTTGAGAGATGAGTTACATTGAGAGATGAGTTACCTAGAGAGATGAGTTACCTCGAGAGATGAGTTACCTTGAGAGATGAGTTACCTTGAGAGATGAGTTACTGTGAGAGATGAGTTACCTTGAGAGATGAGTCACCTTGAGACATGAGTTACCTTGAGAGATGAGTTACCTTGAGGGATGAGTTACCTTGAGGGGTGAGTTACTTTGAGAGATGAGTTACTTTGAGATGAGTTACCTTGAGGGATGAGTTACCTTGAGATGAGTTACCTTGAGACATGAATTACCTTGAGACATGAGTTACCTTGAGGGATGAGTTACTTTGAGAGATGAGTTACTTTGAGATGAGTTACCTTGAGAGATGAGTTACCTTGAGAGATGAGTTACCTCGAGAAATGAGTTACCTCGAGAGATGAGTTACCTCGAGAGATGGGTTACCTCGAGAGATGAGTTACCTCGAGAGATGAGTTACCTTGAGAGATGAGTTACCTCGAGAGATGAATTACCTTGAGAGATGAGTTACATTGAGAGATGAGTTACCTAGAGAGATGAGTTACCTCGAGAGATGACTTACCTCGAGAGATGAGTTACCTCGAGAGATGGGTTACCTCGAGAGATGAGTTACCTCGAGAGATGAGTTACCTTGAGAGATGAGTTACCTCGAGAGATGAGTTACCTCGAGAGATGAGTTACCTTGAGAGATGAGTTACCTCGAGAGATGAATTACCTTGAGAGATGAGTTACATTGAGAGATGAGTTACCTAGAGAGATGAGTTACCTCGAGAGATGAGTTACCTTGAGAGATGAGTTACCTTGAGAGATGAGTTACTGTGAGAGATGAATTACCTTGAGAGATGAGTTACCTTGAGAGATGAGTTACCTTGAGAGATAAGTTGCCTTGAGAAATGAGTTACTGTGAGAGATGAGTTACCTTGAGAGATGAGTTGCCTCGAGAGATGAATTACCTCGAGAGATGAATTACCTTCAGAGATGAGTTACCTTGAGCGGTCAGAGACCAGGCAGAGAGTATCAGGACCAACAACGATGTGGTCTGGAAGAGCGTCATCGTCGTCATGACAACAGTCAGCTGGTCTCACCACCTGTAAACAACAGCTGAGAGTTAATGATCTTGGATGCTGCTGTCTGGCTCTTCATCCGAGGAACTAGAGCTGGCCTTTTCTATTTCCCAGGCATTGTATCACCTATGCGACATAAGTACTTCCCACGAATATAATAATAATAATAATAATAATAATAATAATAATAATAATAATAATAATAATAATAATAATTTTACTGAAGGGTGAGCGAACCACTTGTAGAATGGTTGATAATCACGTTTGATCCAAGGAAGGGGAGTATATGGTGTGTGTACTCACCTTCATGTAGTTGCTGGGGGTCGAGCCACACAGTTCTTGTGTGCGTGTTCAACAGTTTTTTCCAACATCTTAATTTTTACTTCACTAATCTTGGCTATATATTACTTTCGATAGTGCAATAAATGTAATAAAATAACGGTAATAAATATTTTGAGTGATAACATCATGACCAACAACAGTGAGGCACTAAACCATTTTTTTAATAATGTTGGTATTGTTTGTAACGGCTTGACAAAGCTCCTGGAGAGCGAAACGTTGCCACAATGAAAATGTCGCATTAGTTGCATATGTGTCCTTTTTTTTTATTTGCGAAAATTTAGTAGTGTCAGTGATCCGTTACACTACGTTATATGATAGTTGTACAGTGGGGAGGAAATCTCAGTATGATGGATTTTGTGCCTCGATTAATAGTCACGAGCGTCAACTCGGTGATTCCTGTCAGGCTGTGAGAATACCAGTTTGTTGGATAGTTAAGGGATTGAAAGCCTATCAACCACGTGAGGGTCATTAAAAGCTTCATGTAGCATTTACATCACCAAACAAGGTTACCCTAGGTAAGATTCCTTAGGAAAGAGGACAAGTGTTTCCCGACGCGAGTGGTCTTAGTTATATGACCCTTATCTGGAGCTTTTGGTCATCTGACCGAGGCCTTCTGCTGGCTTACCAATCCACCCCTTTAAAAAAAATTGGTATTTGATTTTCTTAAGAATACTTTAGTCCTTAAAACAGGGATTAAAGTAACACTTAGTATATACACTCTGAGAGAATGAGAATACTGTCAAACTATGGAAGCTTGAAAAGATTCACCGTAGTAGAGCTGTAGATACTGGTTCCGGTTATGCTTTCAGGGAAATGGGAGATGGGTGGGAGTGGGTCATATTGTGAGGACCGGTAAGTCAGAGGAAAACTGAATTTCCAAATTTAAGCGACATATTTTTCTGCAAGAAGAGCTCTTATAATTCTGCGTTCAAAAATCTATTATTTGCAAGTTGATCACTATGGGTTAATTAGTGTCTTCGCACACGATACAACTCTTACACAAGAGGAATCACTTGCAGATGCGCCAAAACACAGAATTTAGCTACTATGTACTCTGCTGTATAGTCCTTGTGGCTTAGCGCTTCTTTTTGATTATAATAATAATAATAGCTACTATGTATTACCAAAATTTCTGCAAGTTAAAAAGTTTATGCAAGTAGGTTACTTCTGAAGTAAATTAAAAAAGAATGTGTACATTACAAAAAATCTGCCTATCTTGTGTTGTTAACTTCACCCTGGGGAGGAGGTGAATATTCTGTTGATTAAACAAGATGAATTAATTATTTGTCAGGTTTGTGGAGGTCACCGATACCTGTCTCGATGATAACAAATTTTTAATTAACTCCAAGACAGGTGAAAGCTGAGGATAATATGTACATCGTTTATCTACAAATAAACCGCTTAAAAGTTGTCTAAAAGCATGAGAATCACCCGAGATGTTAGCCTTGATTTATAATGAGCTGTAGCACGTTGTTAAACACATGTCTTTTTTAATTTCAAGTGTGCTTTAAAAATGAGGCTTGTCAGCAAGTACACAGATGTGCATGTCACAACAAGAAGACACATGCGCATGTCATAATAAGAAGAGATACGTGCATGACACAATAAACCATACCACGGGCGGGGATTGAACTCGTGGCAAGTAAGTCGTCAAACTCTAGGCCAGTGCGTAAACCACTGGGCCAGCTGGCTGCAATAGGATTCATCCAACTAGGTATATTTGTACACCATAGAGAGGTTAGCATGGGCCATCACTGTGACCACAAATGCAAGTTTTTACAGATGAATCTCCCGCCAGCATGGCCATGACGAACTCTAGCTCTAGTCCCCTCAAAGCCGTCATCATGACTCACTTATTTTACGACTCACTTGTTTTACGACTCGTTTTACGACTCACTCGTTTTACGACTCACTTGCCACGAGTTCAATCGTGAGTCATGTCACAATAAAAAGACACAAACCTGCATCCTTTATGAAAAAAAATTAATAAATATACAATTTTTGAAAAATATCTTTATACATGCAAGATAAATCAATAAAATGATACTTAAAAAGATTTTTTAAAAACCAAGTGGTGCTTTCAGTGGACATATAAGTACAATCAAACACCTCAGTTACTGGGAGAAGTTGAAGTCTCATGACTTGTACTCCTTGGAACGCAAACGAGAAAGATGCATCATAATATACACCTGGAAAATTCTACAGGGACTAGTCCCAAATTTGAACATGGAAATCACTCCCTACGAGAGCAAAAGACTCGGCAGGCGGAGTAACATCCCCCAGTGAAAAGCAGGGGTGCCATGAGTACACTGAGTGATAACACAATAAGTTTCAGGGGTCCAAGACTGTTCAATTGCCTCCCAGCATACATAAGGGGATTACCGATACACTCCGGGCTGTCTTCGAGAGGGCTGGACAGATAGCTCAAGTCAGTACCCGAACAGCCGGGCTGTGATTCGTACGTTGGATTATGTGGAGCCGGCAGTATCAGGCCCCAATCCACTGCGAGGCCTGGTCATGGGAGGGGGGCATTGAACCCCCGGAACATCTTGCAGGTAGGTACTCGGTAGGTATGCGCATGTCACAATAAGTAGACACATGCCCATGTCACAATAAACAGACACACACATATCACACCACGCGAACACACACCAATCAGACTTGACACCATAGTCTTTATCTGATCTCACACTCTCCAGTTTCTTGATTTAAAAAACAAAACAAAAAAACATCTCTAAAGGACATCAGCGCATCCTCTCTCCTCCACTCTGACACATCATACATCACTTTAAAAGACAATAATTGATCTAGATAATGCTAGCCATGTTTTTGCCTCTGGTCGATTTTTAAGGATTTTACTCCGAGGAGCAAGTTTTTAGAGAGCGGCTCCCATGTGTTAGCACCACGGCAGCAGTACCAGCTGTCAGCCCCAACTGTTAATACACCAACTGTCATCAGGGTATATATATATATATATATATATATATATATATATATATATATATATATATATATATATATATATATATATTAATATATATATATATATATATATATATATATATATATATATATATATATATATATATATATATATAATATATATATATATATATATATATATATATATATATATATATATATATATCGTGCCGAATAGGTAAAACTGATCAATTAGCATGAACTCATATGAAATTAAGTCCTTTCTAAAATTTTCTCTTATACGTTTAAATATATGTATATATTTTTCATTTATGTTAATGTCAAAATTAATAATTTTGTACCAAAAGAACCTTAGAAAACTTACCTAACCTTATTATAACAAGCGCAATTTAATTTAGCCTAATCCAACTAAATATATTTTACATAAGTTTAGAATAATTTAATAATAAACAAACACAATGAAATATATTTTTCTCGTTAGGTTCAGAATGATTTTTGCGAAATTATTGCATACACAAATTTTCGCTTGCCTTATTCGGCAAGAATGATTTGCTATTTAAGTCAAAATCGCAAGTGCTTTAGGGATTAAATTATTCTTGACTGGTGTAAATATGTGATATGCAGCCTTAATGACCCTCGATAAGCTCCAAGTCCAGTTGACCAACCAAACACTACGTTGTTTCGTGATGAATAAATCACCACCATCAATCAAGATTAATGGACTGGACACATCAACTCCAGGCTGAGGGACTGATTACCTCAAACTCCTGATCTTCAATCACTCTTCTCTGTACTGAACTAAGGAAGCCACTGGTTGGCGAAACGTTTCCAGAGTAAAGATACCCAAGTGTTGGACAAGTATCTGTTCCATCAACCTGTCAGTTCTCTGACCCACTAATCTACATTTTTCATTCTAGGGATGAGACGGACGGGAACGCATATTTCATTACAATAAAAGGATATAATGACCAAGATCTGTACCGAAGTCCACAGACAACACGACGGTTGTTAACTACGATAGCATGTCACCTGTACACCACCAGTCATGAATATTTTAATCCCTAATATAGGAATTAGAGTAAACTTCGGGGAGTATATACCTGTAGATGTTGCTTCTTTCCCCACTTTTATTATATTTATATTAATGGAGAGGTGATAAGCCTGTCATAGCGCCTGGGAAATGGGAAGATAAAATAATTGTATCTATATGCTCTTGTACTACCGTCCACGGGGTGGATGTGGGGTGAACAATATGCTAGCAGGGGCTGCTCCATTTCCCTGAATCAAGAGCCCTTCAAAGGTTTCGTTCGTCAAGAAGCAGGAATGTCTGAGAGTATGAATGGTACATGTATACCAACAGTCACTTTGGGACATATTTGTAACGTTTGGGTATTTCTTATTGGCTACTTTTTGTAATAAAGTTGGTAGAATTACCGACAATATGTAAAGTAAAAGGACACAAGTGCAACTAATGTGACATTTATTGTGGCAACGTTTCGCTCTCCAGGAGCTTTATCAAGCCATTACAAACAATACATGGACACAGAGGGTATATATAGGCTCAGAGTGAGGTGCAATACTAATGAGGTACCATTTCGATGTTCACTAGTGGTAGTAGTAGTAGTAGTGAACATCGAAATGGTACCTCACTAGTATTGAACCTCACTCTGAGCCTTTATATACCCTCTGTGTCCATGTATTGTTTGTAATGGCTTGATAAAGCTCCTGGAGAGCGAAAC